GGGTACCAGCAGAGCTGGAGGGCGGGGGGAGCCCAGGGCTGGGCTGGCAGGGGCTGTAGGCCGGGAGTGAGGGGCACTGGCAGAGCTGGGAGTGGCTGGGGGAGCCCAGGGCTGGGGGCTGGCAGGGGCCGCGGTCGGGAGTGAGGGCACCAGCAGAGCTGAGGGGGCGGGGGGAGCCCAGGGCTGGGCTGGCAGGGGGCTGCGGGTCGGGAGTGAGGGGCACCGGCAGAGCTGGGAGGGTGGGGAGTTTCCAGGGCTGGGGGCTGGCAGGGGGCTGTGGGTTGGGAGCGAGGGGCACCGGCAGAGAGCTGAGGGGGTGGGGGAGCCCAGGGCTGGGGGCTGGCAGGGGCTGCGGGTCGGGAGTGAGGGGCACCGGCAGAGCTGGGGCGCGGGGGGGAGCCCAGGGCTGGGGGCTGGCAGGGGGCTGTGGGCTGGGAGCGCAGGGGCACCGGGGGGCACCTGGGATAACACTCTGGGGCAGCCTGGCCTTTCCCAGTGGGGAGGGCTGGGGAGGGGGTGGCTGCATCCCCAGCTGATCCCCGCGTGCTCCGGCCCCTGAGCTCGATGAAAGTCGCCCTTTGCCCGCGGTGCCGGGCGCGGGGGCCGAGAGAGCGCCAGGGCTTGGCCCCAGATAACGCGGCCCTGAGCCAGCGCTTACACCAGAGCTGGGGGGGGCGCCCTGACGCTACGCAGCCCCCCGAACCCCAGCCCCCAACCCCCAGTAACCCCAATGCGAGCTCCCCAACCCCGACCCCCCTGAGCCCCAGCCCCCCCGAACCCCAGCCCCAACCCCCAGCAACCCCAATGCGCAGCTCCCCCAACCCCGACCCCCTGAGCCCCAGCTCCCCCGACCCCCAGCAACCCCCAGCGCCCAGCTCCAAGTCCACACCCCGCCCAAACCCCCAGCAACCCCCTAACCCCCAGCAACCCCCAGCGCCCAGCTCCCCCAACGCCCAGCTGCCCCGACCCCCAGCAACCCCCAACGCCCAGCTCCCCCAACTTCCAACCCCCTGCCCCCAACCCCCAGCAACCCCCAGCACCCAGAGTCCCCGACCCCAGCTCCCCAAACCCCCAGCTCCCTGCCACCCCCCAGGAACCCCGCAACGCCCAGCTCCCCCAACTTCCAACCCCTGCCCCCCAACCCCCAGCAACCCCCAGCGCCCAGCTTTACCCAACCCCAGCTCCCCCGACCCCCAACCCCAGTAACCCCAATGCGCAGCTCCCCCAACCCCCGACCCCCAGCTCCCCTGAGCTCCAGCTCCCTCCCTGGACCCCCAGCAACCCCAACACCCAGCTCCCAACTCAACCCCCGCCCCCAACCCCCAGCAACCCCAGCGCGCCCAGCTCCCCAACCCCAGCTCTCCAACCCCAGCTCCCGACCCCAGCCCCCAGCAACCCCCAATGCACAGCTTCCCCCAACTCCCAACAACCTCAATGCCCAGCTCCCCTGACCCCAACCCCCAGTGACCAAATGCAAGCTCCCAACTCCCAACAACCTGACCCAATGCCCAGCTCTCCTGACCCCCAACCCCCCAGTGACCCCCAATGCACAGCTCCCCCAACTCCCAGCGACCCCCAATGCCCAGCAACCCTCACCCCCAACCCCGAACAACCCCCAAAGCCCAGCTCCCCTCGACCCTCATCTCCCAACGACCCCCAACGCCCAGCTGCCCCAAACCCCCAACCCCCAGTGACCCTCAATGCCCCTGACCCCTGCAAACGATCAGCGACTTCCCTTCCCCCGCCAGCCATGGAAAGACGAGCTCAATCCCCTGGGCTGGTCCTGGTTTTGGCCTGCCCGCTGGGGCTGACATGGCGTGGGTCCAGACGGGGGCCAGTGTCTGGGGGACTTGCTGGGATACAGGGACCTGCCCTGGACGCCGGCTGAGGCCTGACAAACTCGTTCTGTGCACGGGCCGCCTAGCAACCGCCAGCTGGGAGCACCTCAGTGCTACCCCCGGGGGGCGGGGGCTGGGACCCAGCGCACACATGGGGTCCTGTTTCTTACCCCCCAGACCGGCCCAGGGGACCCCCCCGAGCTTCTCATTCCCACCTGCCCCCCCTCCTCGGGGCAGCGTTGTACTCCCCGGCAAAGGCCCTGCTGCCTCCTCTTCAGCCGGAGGGCGCCCTGCTGCAGATCTGGGGGCTGCTAAACACAGGGTGGGCCGCTGAGTCACTGGGAATCTGCTCTGGAGTAGCCCTGAACCCCTCACCTCAGGCCGCCTGTGTGGTGCTTAAAGCCCTTGGGCCAAGATGACTAGACGGGACTATCGATTACGGGCTGCAGGTCAGGAGTGGGGGGACCGGCAAAGCAATGGGGGAACCCCAGGCTGGGCTAGCAGGGGGCTGTGGCTCAGGACGGAGGGGCACTAGCTGGGCTGCACCATCACCTGTATTTGTCTCATCCCGGTTCCCTGATCCGCAGGGAATTTCAGGACACACATGCTGTGTTTCTCACCCGGCTTTGCTGGAGATGTCGCCTGAAATAATAAAATAAAAAAAAATAAAATATTTTTTTTTTACATTAGTGCTAAAAGAAAATACAAAAAGGCAAACTCGGCGCCAGGCTTCTTGGCAGGGCGGGGTAGGGAGTGAGGGGGGCGGGTTCCCCTCCTCCCGGCCACCCCATGCCCTGCTCCACCGCGGCACCTCCCCGAGGTGCCCCACAGTAAACACTCCCCCAATGCATTGACCGTGTCCGTCCCACGGCGTGAAACGTGAAAATACCACGAGAGAATCTGCACCCGAGCGGGTCCCAGCTCCGTCAGCAGGGCTGGTGCCCGGTGCCCGGTGCCCAGTGCCTGGTGCCGGAGAAGAACTGGCTGGACCCCAGCCAGGAGAGCAGAGACCTGCTCAGCGGTTGGCCGCGGCCCCCCAGAAAGGGGTGAAAGGACCAGAGACCATTTTCCATGGGAAACTTCTGGGGGATGAGAAACTGGGGCTTTCAAAGCCCTGACAGTTCCTAGGGGGCCATTCCCAGCTGTGCCCAGCTTGTCTGGCCTCCTCCTGCAGGGGGGTCTTGCCACCCCCTGGACGGTGGAGCACGGGCGGCTTGGGTAGGAAACCAACCCGGCTCGATTGGGCCGGGTTTGGAAGATCCACCGTGGCCCTTGGGAAGCACCCGAGGAAAATGTTGGAAAAAGGAAAATCTCAACACTGGACATTTCGGGCCCAAAGGTTTCCTTTTCTTGGCTGGAAATCGCTAGTTTTCTGCCCAATCCCCCTAAAATCAAAACATCCTCGGTGAGACGAACCTACCCGCTTTGTTTGGCAAAATTTTCCACCCAGCTCTGGAAATACCCGGCTGGGGCGGCCGAGCTGTGTGCCGTGGGGCGTTGGCCCCCAGCTGGCCCGGAGACCTTTCCTCCAGTTGGCACCTGGCCCAGTTTCCTCCTTGCACACTTGTACTTGAAATGTGTGTGCGCAGGGGGGGCGGGAGGGTGTAGCCAGCTGCCTGCTCCCCCCCCCCCCCCACACACACACACCAAGAGATGTTTCACGTTAACCACTCCCAGCCTCCTCCTGGGTCCCAGGAGTGAGAGTCCAGAACAATCCCGGACCTGGCATCTCCCAAACGGCGCCCTAGGGCATTGGGACAGTGCCATGGCGGGCACGCGACAGAGAAGACTCCATCTGTCTGCGCCAACCCCGCTGAACAGCACCGGGAGATTCCCCACAACGCCCCCGCCCCCCACCTCTCCGGGGGCGGCTGGGCCCCCCCCGTCCAGGCCCCCCATGCTGTCCCCTAGCTGCAGCCGCAGGCCTCGACGATCATGTCCGGGATGTCGGTCTTGAGGATGTTGCTGTTACGGTCGAAGTAGAGGATGGAGAGGGGCCGGCGGGGTGCGTGGGCACACAGCAGGACTGCCCGCCCGGCTGGAGGTTGTGGGCCCGGATCAGGTTGAGCACGGCCGTGTGGGAGGAGGAGGCCATGCCCGGGCTGCTGGCCACGTGGGTCGGGCACTGGCCCATGCAGTAGTTGATCTGGTAGCCCTCTGGCTTGATGATCCAGTCGTTCCACCCGATGTCCCGGAAGTCCACGTAATAGTCCTTGCGGCAACATAGGTCGGAGGTCTGGTCGCAGCGAAGGCTGCGTTTGGCCACCTGCTGCCCTGGCTTCCGCACTGTGGCCTTGGCCACCAGGAAGGGCTGGTGGGAGCTGCCGGCGTCGCTCCCGGCCGTGGCATTGGCCTGGCACCCGCGGCACCCAGCTCGAGCCTCAGTGTCTTCTCCTGCCCCCGGAAGAAGGCCTGGAGCGCAGGCAGGAGGGCGACGGTGTGCCAGCCGCCGGCCCGGGCCTCCAGCTGCCTCTCGCTCAGCAGCACCCCGGCCTGGGAGACCCGCAGCGTGACCGGGGACAGCCCGCTCCGGGGGGCCCGGACGTAAAGCCACAGTTGGGCCTGCAGGATGTGGACATCCCGGCCCATGCCCTGGCTGAACTGGAAACGCAGCCCCATGCTGGAGGGAGAGGGAGAACTCTGTGGGGAGAGAGGGGGCTGTGAGAACGGGGGCGGTGCCAGGCGGGGAACGCCCATCTTCGCAGCTGGCACCAGCCTCCCTGCTCCCTGGCTCACTGCCCCCCCCAGGGGCTCCAGCCTCGGGCCCCTGCCCAGCCAAGTCCCCCGAGACCCAGGGCGGCTTTGCCCCCACCCAAGACAGGGCACCCCTGGGGGGCCCATCCACGGGGGGGCCCTGTCTCTGACTCGCTGCCCCCACCAAGCTCTGGCATGTCCCTTCCCTGGAGGTGGAGTTATAGCACCCCGCACAGGAGAACCCTGGCAGCAAGGAGCCAAGGATGCCCTCACCCCCTCACCGCCCACCAGCTCAGCTCCGGGGCCAAAAGCCAATGGGCTGGGGGCCCCAGGACGGGAGACAGTGCTGGGGACCTCCCGTGTGGGGATGGGCAGCAGTGGCCCACAGGGGGACGGGTTTGCAGATGACTCCAGCCACCTATACATGGGGCTGGGGGAGGGGGGCTGATACCCTGGGAAATAGATTCCAGTGGGGGGCTGTTTGTCCCCCAGCCATCCCCAGAGGCCCTCTCCCCTGCGTGTCAGGAGCGGTGGGATGCCGGCAGTTCTGCCAGTGCCGGGGTGGGGGCAGAGCCCAGATCTCTCCCTTACTCCGCCAGCTGCCAGCCTGGTGCTGCTGGGCCCTCGGCATGGCCACGATGTACCCTGGTCCAGAGACCTCCCTCCCTCAGAGATCCACAGACCATCCCAGCTGGGAAACCAGCAGGAATCACACCCTTGGGGAGCCAGTTCCACCACGGGGGAAAGTGACTCACTGAAGAGCTGAGCTTAGAACCCAGGAGTCCCGGCTCCCAGCCCTGCCCCCTGCCCTTTAACCACTAGACCCCACTCCCCTCCCCTGGCTGGGGACAGAACCCAGGATTTCTGACGCCCAGCCTTGCTCTTAACCCACTAGACCCCGTTCCACTCCAAGAACAGGGGACAGAACCCAGGAGTCCTGGCGCCCAGCCACCCCCCCAACCACTAGACCCCGTTCCCCTCCCATAGCTGGGAATAGAACCCAGGAGTCCTGGCTCCCAGCCTCCCCTGCTCTAACCGCTACACCCTACTTCCCTCCCAGAACTGGGGATAGAACCCAGGAGTCCTGACGCTCAGCCTTGCACTTAACCCACTAGACCTCATTCCCTTCCAAAAACTGAGGACAGAACCCAGGAGTCCTGGCTCCCAGCCGCCCCCTGACTATAACCACTCGACCCCACTCCCCTCCCAGAGGTGGGGGCAGAACCCAGGAGTGATCATGTGGCACTATCCAGCCCTTGGGAAGGGCACGGTAACTCTGTGGGGTCCTCATAGCTGGGGAAGGGGTGGCTCTGTGCCCCCCCCCGCTCTCTGTCCTGAGAGCAGCCTGGGCCTCCCCCCAGGCCCTCTTCCTCCCCACTCACCCCCCTTCTCTGCTCTCCGGACACCAGGTTTTCCCACCTGCAATCGGCGAAGTTCCCTTTGGTGGGGCCGAGCTGCTGGCTCCGTCCCGCTCCCCGTCGCAGCCTGTTCCCGGCTGACCCCCCAGCCCTGTCCCTGCCCCCCCGCCCCTCCGCCAGCCTCGGGTCCCCGTCTGCGGCACCCACCTGTCTTGGCAAAACTGATGATCTCGTAGCCCAGCTCGTTGGCCTCGGGGCCGTCCCAGGGGGCGAAGGGCCCCGGCTGCCTGTCCCGCTGGGCTTGGCCCACATGCAGACGCCGCAGGGCGTTGGTGACGGCCAGGCGGGGCACCGGCTGGGTGACATTGGGCCTCTCCATCAGGTGCAGCTTCTCCAGGACCTGCCGCTTGGCCAGCTCGAGCAGGAAGCGCCTCTCCGTGCCTGGCTCCAGGGTGGGCATCCTGCACGCCGGGCACCCCGGCTTCCCTCCTCCCTGGACCGAGGATCCCCACAGCAGGGCCAGGGCAGCCAGGGCTAGCCAACCCCCCTGGGGGCTGCCCGCTCCTCTCCAGGCACGCGCCGGAGCCAGGAGCCATCTAGAGCTGAGTGGGGCAGGGGGCTAGGGACGGTGCCAGGCTCTCAGGATCTGTCTCCGAGCTCTGCCCGGCCAGCCTGCCTCCTGCCGTCACGCCCGGGCTGCCCCGCGTCCGCCTGCCATGCGAGGAGCCGCTCGCCACGGCCACTGCCCGGGTGCCAGGGGCGGAGACGGGTGCTGCTCCACCCGAGGGAGCCTGACTCAGGGCTCGGCTTGAGGTGTTGACTGTCCAGGCTCCAGGCACCTGTCAGTCATGGGGGCAGGCCCTGCCCTCCTGCCTGCTGCGATTGGCCGGCACCTGGGGCCCCGGGGCGGGTGCTGCCGGGGCCGGGGGGGGGGTTTGGGGGTGCTGCCTCCCCCGGCCAGGAACAGGTGCTGAGGGCTCCCGGGAAGGGGCATGATGCAAGAAGGGAGAGGGTTGCGCTGCCCAGGAAGTCGGGAGGTGCTGGGGGGCACACAGCAGGAACCCCCCCCCACGATGCCCCTTGGTGTTTCCTCCGGGGGCCGGGGGCATTGCCCGGTGCCAGCTGGGGCCGCCGTTCTTTGTGCAGCATGCCCAGGCACTGCAGGGACAGAGGGAACAGGGGGAGGGGGCACCGGGGTTAACGTTCCTTTGCCAGCCTTCTCCCTTCTCCGCCTGCCTCCTGCGGCCTGGGGGGGCCAGCAGTGGCCACTGCTCACTAGCCAGCCCCCACCCCTCCATCCACGGGCCCCCCCTCACAGTTGATGAAGTGGGGGGCAGAGGAGGGAGCAGGGCGAGGGAGCTGGGGCTCGGGCCCTGCCCACCCCCACGGCAGGATTGCCTCCCTCCTGAATGCAGCACCTTATCACCAAAGGGCTATCAGTCCCAGATAAGAGGCCCCATTAGCGGTAAGGTTCCCTCTCGGATGCTGGCACCGGGGCCTGACACCAGGAGCCCTGGGCTGTTCTCAGCAGCTAAGGCCACCTGCAGCCACGGCCACTGGCCCTGCTGTGAGGATCCTGCCATGTGGCCTTTGCTTGGTCCTGACACCATGGAGAGCTGGGGGGCAGCTGTCCGGGGTGGGGGGCAGCCGGGCCAGGATGCTGCCAGTGCGTGAAAGCTGCAGGGAATGACTGCACCAGCCGGGGCCAGGCCGCTGACTCCCGCTCAGCCCCGCCGCGCCTGGCCGAGGGGGAGCGAGTCCTGGCCCAGCCCGGCTCAGCGCGGGCCCGGCTGGGGTTTGGAGTCCATTTCTGCTCCCCAAGGCATTTCTGCTCCCCGTTCCTGCCGGGGTGCTGCAGAGCATGATCACGTCCTTCGCCACTTGGTGCCAATTGGGGGGGGGTATCCCAAGTGCCAGGAGCCTGGGGGAGGAGGGGCAGGCAGCGCAGTGTCTGGAGGGGAGCTCCCCTGGCCCGGGAGAGCCTGGCACACTGACCCGGACTGGGACGCGCTGGCATCCAAAGTCTCGGAAACTGAGCTCTGGGGGCTGAGGGTAAACACGGCCGGTTCACCAGGCCGTCTGGGAAAAAGCCCCCAGGAGGCATGATGCAACCGCGGGCCGGGGCCAAAGTCTGTGGCACTCCCAGAATAACCCAGGAATGTCAACAGCGAGGCAGGAGCCTTGGCATGGTGCTGTCACCGGGGCCTGCGAGCTGCACTTGGCACCGGGCTGCTGCGGGGGCGGGGTGTCTCGTAACTGGTGCCACACGCACGGATGCACGCCCGCCCCGGTGCACACAGGGGGACGCACACACGCACGCACAGAGTTGGTGCTGTGGGGGGCTCCAGCCACCAGGAAAACGCAATTTGCACACGTGCGCTGTCCCAGTGCGAGGGGGCGACTCCCAGGGGGCAGCAAAGACCCCCAAGCTGGGACAATCACGGCCTCCTGCACGAGGCGGGAGCGAGGTGGTATCGGGGGGGCAGTGAGCAGCGGGCTGGGCAGGGGCGCTGCCAGGCTGTCATTAAGCTCAGCCAGAGCTAACGAGCTACCGATGGGGGCCAGCCAAAGTGCGGGACCTTGCTCCCGAGGGGGGGCTGGGTCTGAAGCCTGGGTTGGCACCCAAGCAGGCATGTGGGGAAACCTGCCTTGGCACAGAGCGCGGTAGGGGATGGATGGGCGCGGTGCCGGGCTGTGAATTGGCAGGCCGGGCGGGGCGCCATAGGCTGCAGCTGGCTCTGGGCTCTCCCCAGGCACAGTCTGGGGAAGGAGGAAGTGGGAGTTTCTCGGTGAGCTCCGAGGCCAGGCCCGGAGCCCGGCAGCCCGGGGACCCGGCAGGTGGCAGCCGTTACAGGCTGACCTGGGAGAGTTTCGCATCCTCTGTGCACCAGAGTTGGGGGCTGCGGGAAATCTCACGACACCCGCCCCGCAGGGTGCCCCCTGCAGCCTTCCCCCTCACTGCAGGGTGAGAACGGACCCTGCTGCGGGTGAAAGCTCCCGGCCCTCTCTGATTGGCAAGGCCAGGGCCAGTCTCCCTGTTCCGCTCCCTGTCTGGCTAATGCCAGGGGGTCCCAGGCTCTAGGCGCTAGCCCCTCCCATGCCTCGGGACTCCAGCGCCATCAAGCCCTTGGGCTGCCAGTTTGCACCAGGCACACCTCCAGGGGCGCCCCCCCCCGCCCCACGGCCCTGCCTTGCCAAAGGGCAGGGGGGGAATGTAGGGCAAGGGTCGGTACAGTATTTTGAGAGCCGCGGCTCGCGTTGCATAAGGGTTGTTGTTTATTAAACTGTTCCAAGAAAGCAAAGCCTGAAGCCCCGCCTGGCACCACGATGGCCCCCAGCCAGGGGCATGCAGGGCACAGGCCGCCCCTTGTGGCTCCCGGCCCTCGGGACCACGTCCTGCAGGTGCGGGAGGCGGGGAGCTGGCTAAAACACACCACAGCAGCCAGGCCAAGGAGTGAGCGGGGATCCTTTCTGTGCCCCCTGTCACGGGGTCCCCAGGCGATGCTCTGGGACGACTCCCTACGAAGCTAGGCAGGACTCTGGGGAAGTCTCCTCTCTTGGAGCAGCCTGTCTGCAGGACACACAGCTCCCCCGGCTCCACCTTCCTGGGTCTGACCTCGGAGCATTCAGCATCCTCTGCCCCTCCGTGCGCTTCCCCCAGCGAGTCCGCCCAGGTGGGGTCCAGGGGGGGCCAGAGGGTCCTGCCCCCCAACTCCGCAGTCAGATGGGACTCTCAGCCAGCCAGGAAAACAGAAGGTTTATTAGACGACAGGAACATGGTCTAACACAGAGCTTGTAGGTACAGAGAACAGGACCCCTCAGCTGGGTCCATTTTGGGGGACAGTGAGCCAGACAAGCATGTCTGCACTTCACTCCTCGTCCCCAGACAGCCCCAAACTTCCTCTCCCTCCAGCCCCCCTCCTCTGGGCTTTGTCCCTTTCCCGGGCCAGGAGGTCACCGGATTCTTTTGTTCTCCAACCCTTCAGCTCTCACCTTGCAGGGGGGAAGGGCCCAGGGCATCAGTGGCCAGGAAACAGGGTGTCGGCCATTCTCTGTATCCAGACCTGCCCTCTAGGGCTCTGCAATGATCATACACCCTTACCCCACCCCCTAGATACTTAAGAACTGCCTGGGGAAACTGAGACACCCCTACAATATTCAGAGGAAACATTAAGAACGGTCCTGCTTTGTCACATCTCTCCCCCCTTTGAGACCGAACTGAGCAGGGTCACTTTAGCCGGTGACCCGGGGAAGTTCGAAGCCACCAATGTTCCCATGGATGCCCCAGCATCTCTCCCGTTCCTTGGTGGGAGTTACACCAGGCCCTTCTAGTTTTACGCCCTTCCAGTTTCACGCTCTCCCTTAGGTCGGGGGCGGTCGATAGCACTTGCAGGCCGCACGTGGGAAGGTTTATGTGGCCTTTGCCCTTTGGCCACCCCCAAAACCCCAGGGGGTCAAACTAGGATTGGGTCTTCTCCCCAACAAGCTGGCCAAACACAGCCACTTGGATTTCGGACTGTTTAACTTTCTCAACAGCTTTCACTCCATCTAAGACCTTCTCAAAGCTATCCACACTGGATCCTTCAACAGGAAAGTCAGTGGATCCATTCAGAACAGAAAATTTCTGGCTGTTAGGACCTGAAACTTTCTTGATTAAATCACTTTCACACCCTTCAGTGGCAGTAAACTGCTTGCAAAGACTCCATGAGGATTCCTTTCCCTAGGGGCTTTTCTATGCAACAATTCACCCTTCACAGAAATTCTGCTCTTACCCTCTTTACCTAGGGCTTGCTCTAGAGGAACACTTTCCTGAGCAACAACAGACTCTTTCTGGGTCTCCCTTACATCCAAAATTACCATCTGGCCCAGAGATGTCAAGAGTAACAAGAAGGGTTTCTTCAGGTATGTTGGCAACAAGAAGAAAGCCAAGGAAAGTGTGGGCCCCTTACTGAATGAGGGAGGCAACCTAGTGACAGAGGATGTGGAAAAAGCTAATGTACTCAATGCTTTTTTTGCCTCTGTTTTCACTAACAAGGTCAGCTCCCAGACTGCTGAGCTGGGCATCGCAAAATGGGGAAGAGATGGCCAGCCCTCTGTGGAGATAGAGGTGGTTAGGGACTATTTAGAAAAGCTGGACGTGCACAAGTCCATGGGGCCGGACGAGTTGCATCCGAGAGTGCTGAAGGAATTGGCGGCTGTGATTGCAGAGCCATTGGCCATTATCTTTTAAAACTTGTGGCGAACGGGGGAAGTCCCGGATGACTGGAAAAAGGCTAACGTAGTGCCAATCTTTAAAAAAGGGAAGAAGGAGGATCCTGGGAACTACAGGCCAGTCAGCCTCACCTCAGTCCCTGGAAAAATCATGGAGCAGGTCCTCAAAGAATCAATACTGAAGCACTTGCATGAGAGGAAAGTGATCAGGAACAGCCAGCATGGATTCACCAAGGGAAGGTCATGCCTGACTAATCTAATCGCCTTTTATGATGAGATTACTGGTTCTGTGGATGAAGGGAAAGCAGTGGATGTATTGTTTCTTGACTTTAGCAAAGCTTTTGACACGGTCTCCCACAGTATTCTTGTCAGCAAGTTAAGGAAG